GGTGGTCAAAAGAACATGGTACTGGTATAGACAAATAGATCAATGGACTAGAATTGAGAACCCAGAAATCAGCCCATCTACTGATTTTTACAAGAAGATGCAATCAGTTAAGTGGGGAAATGACAACCTTTTAAACAAATGGTTTTTGGCAAAATTGGAAAATGATCTGCAAAAAACCTCAAATAAGACCCATACCTCACACCATACACAAAAACCAATTCAAAGGATATCAAAGACCTAGGACTAAAATCAAGGACTATAAACTTAACTAGAGAAAAGCTTGGAAGAACCGTAGAAGCACTAATCCACAATATGAACAGTCTTCCAAGCATCCTGAAAAACCTACAGCCAGGGGAGGATAAAATAGATGAATGGGACCTTCTAAGAATCAAATCCCTAGGCAGATCCAAAAACTTCTCCAATAGGGTAAAAAGGGAAACCACAGACTGGGGGGGGGGGAAATATTTGATAATGACATGTCTGATGACTTATATCTAGAATTTATAGAGTACTCGAGTGCCACAAGATAAAGGTAAACAACCCAATTGACAAATGAGCGTAGGATATGAACAGACACTTCACCAAAGAAGACATTCAGTTGGCAAACAAATACATGAAGAAATGTTCAAAATCCCTAGCTTTAAGAGAGATGCAAATCAAAGCAACTATGAGATACCATCTCACCCCAGTAAGAATAGCAAAATTCAACAAAGCAGCAAGCAATAAATGCTGGCGAAGTTGCAGAGAAACTAGAACACTTTTCACTGTTGGTGAGAGTGTGAAATGGTGCAACCACTATGGAAGGCAGTATGGCACTTTCTCAAAAAGTTGCAAACAGAAATACCATTTGACCCAGCAATTTCACTACTGAGAATATATCCTAAAGAAACCAGAAATGTCACCCAAGCAGATATATGTACACCTATGTTTATTGCTGCTTTGTTCACAATAGTGAAGAGTTGGAAACAACCCAAGTGCCCATCAACAAATGAATGGATAGAGAAGCTGTGGTATATTCATACAATGGAATATTATGCAGCAATGAAAAACAAAGAACTTGTGGAATGTTATATAAAATGGGTGACCATGAAGGACATTGTGCTGAGTGAAATATCTCAGTCACAAAAAGAAAAATACTGCATATGGCCACTGTTATAAAACAGGATTGACATGGGGGTTAGGGAAAAACTAAGAATAGAGGGGATAAATAATGTACACAGCATGGAAACATATGAGGAATAGAACTGCTTGAAAGGAATATATGATTAGGTATTATTGGCATGACAAGAATTCAGAATAAGAGATGCATAGTAAAGTGGACAGGAGCGGGGGGCCATATGTTTAACAATGAAAGAATTTTTCTCCAAAAAGGAAAGCAAACTGGGGATGGGGGAGGCAGGAAGGAAAATGTGCAGCAATGAATGAATGGAAATCCAAGTTCTCTATAAACATTCATTAAAATCTCGATAAATAAAAAAACCTTGAAATATTTAGAATCTGCATTATATTCATAGACTGTGTTCCTGACTATGCCATCAGCCAAGGGCATAATTCTTAGTACAGACAGGATAAGGGGTCAGAGTTATTTCCTACTTCCAAAATCCATTTGAAATATGAAATAAGCTAAAATTAGGTCTTGGGACTTTTTAAAAACATTGATAATTTATTATATATGTTGTTGGAAAATTTTAAATTAAATCCATGTATCTGATATGAAAGCCACTGATAACTTGGTCTCTTTCTCAAAGTTGCTAATAGATTGTCTAGAGGAGAAGGAGAAGCAGAAAAGGGGAGAGAGGGAAAATGACTCAGATAGCAGAGGTGAGTGGACAGATGGTGAATGAAGAAATAGGAAAGATTCAAGGGATACTTGAAAAGACAGGGTGATAATAGGCATAGATCAATAATAATGAATTATATACATTTCTAGTAATAGTCATAATGTATATGAATGATTGTATAATGTCTTGGGACTTTTTAGTTGTCCTGTGGTAACCACTGTCCAGAGAAACAGATTAGTGGAGGCCTCTGGTGTTGAGTTGCCCTCTTCAACTTCCAGATTATCTTTGGACTGAGTTCTGGTTCTGAGGCTGGGCTGCAGTTTAAAGTCATTGCTAGGCTTTGCCTACTCCATCATTGTCTAGCTGAGTGGAGACTGTGGTGGTAGAACTGGGAAAGCAAGACCTCCAACAGCAGCTGTGGAAGAAACAACAGGCTGCCCAAAGAGGCTTGACAGAATCACCTGGGAACAGTATCATACTAATCATAAATTATTCCTCAACTCATCTTTTACTGTCTTATAGTGAGAGAGAGAAATCTATTCTATCCTCTCAAATAAGTTGTGAACTTGTAAAACCAGGGACCTTGGTTAACTACAGTATATTTTACCCTTTGTCCTAAATATGTATGCTCAGTGCTCAATAACTAGTCTTTGGTCGATTTATTAGGAGGTGGGAGAAGTCCTGATCTTTGAATTTAATTTCTTCTATTATGTGAATTCCACCCTATCATATAAACCCACTAGACATGAGACTGGAGGCAGGATTGGGAATTCTGTTTGAGTTCATGGTGTGTCATGCCTTACTCAATGTGCCTGTTGTTGTATTCCTTTAAATTTTTTTTTCTTTTGCAAAAGTTGCAGACCTTTTTGAACTGAGGCATCAGTGGTTAGGAAGGATTGCAGGGCTGTGATCAATGAAGAAACTTAGCACGGTGGAGGGGTGGGGGTGCAGAGAGGGTCCTGCTGCCTCAGAGACAGTACTGTATGGTGGCAAGAGCCCTGGGCCAGGAGCCAGAGGACTGGGATTAGAACCCAGGCTCTGCCATGCAAGGCTGACATCCTTAGGCAAGCTTCTGCATAATGCAAGTGGAATGAGAATCAGAACAGTGCCTATTTCATGAACTTGTTTGGTATAATAAATGATACTAATTGATTTACTCATTCCATGAGTTTTGGGTGTTGTTTTTTGTTGTTTTTTTTTAATACCTATCAATTTTAGGCACTGGAAAGAAATCTGTAAATAAGGGAGACACAATCCCCTGCCCTTATGGGGCTTGTAAGGGAGCAATGCCTTGGTGGCCTGGTAACAAGAAGCTGTGCTGCAATCCTGAAGTACGAGGTTCAAATCCACCAAGTAACCTGCAGGAAAAGGATGGGCAATCTTCTGCCTTGTGATTAACCACCTCTGAAAACCTGCTGGAGGGTCAGCTATGGGTCGGTTCTGACTTGTACACAACAACAATAACAACATGGAGCTTATACGAAGCCCTGGAGGCAGATGGTTAAATGTTCAGCTGCTAACCAAAAGGTCAGCTGTTCCAATCCACCAGCCGCTTCACAGGATAAAGATGCAGCAGTCTATTTCCAGGAATATTTACAGACTTAGAAACCCTGTGATAATTCCTCTCTCCTGTAGTGTCACAGTAAATCAGAACCGATCAACAAAGATGATTGTGATTTCATATGTGGCCTATTCTTGAGTAACGTCATGCACAAAATGACTTTTAATATAAGTATCTAATTGGATTGTTGTGCACCATTGAGTCAGAGCTGACCCTCCAGTGAGTTTTCAGAGGCAGGTAATCTCGTAGAAGGAGATTAGCCATCCTTCTTCCACAGAGCAGCTGGTGGATTCAAACTGCATGCCTTCAGGATTGCAGCACAGCTACTTGCCACTAGTCCACCGGAGCTCTGAGGATATCTGGTGAGCCCACTTGATGGGTCCTTATTGTGTATATCTATAGGTGTTTGTGTTACAACCAAAGGAAGTTACGGACAGTATCGGGCTCGTGTCTGAATTGGCATAGCCCTAAGGATGTTCCAAGCAAGGTCGCTGAGTCGGAATTGACTTGGTGGCAGTAGATTTGGGAGAAATGTCCCATTAAGTAAGACAGTAAGTGCTCTTGCTGGAGCTCACTGTCTTTAGCCTGTTGTCTTTGAACTGGATTCCTGTCATGTCCCCATTTGTAAAGTCCTTGGTGCAAACTATCCAGCAGTCAGTTGAGGTTCAGGGACTACAGGTCTTGCAATAAATGAATAGTTTCCACATTTCCTCAGCCTTTGGTGTTAGCAGTATTTGTGATTTTACACGGTTGCTAAGTTGTTCTCCTGTTTGTGTTACTTGTGAGAATAAGTCAAAGGGCTAGCATGGCCCATTGCGATTCACAAACCGTATTTCAGTGAGTCATTTCAACATTTCCTCTCCAAACTTTTGATTAGCCACCCATCAAAAAACAAAATGGACAGATTTAAGGTTTCGGTTCCTCATTTCTCTTTTCCTTCCCTCTGGGGATTTTTCCTTGAGCATCAAAATGACCAAACTGCCTGCCAGGTGAAGGGCGTGTCTGGAAGGCAGGCCTGGGGGAACAGCGCTCAGCCTGTCAAAGTTTCCTGCCTCCAGAGGGGTATTTCTCATGCCTGCCTTCCAGTCACAGTTGTCTTTCTTAGTAATGCAGTAAGCCTCAATGGCACCAAGCCTATGTAGTTAAAAATGTCAACAGGAAATTGTTTTCTGGCCAAATAGCCCGTGTAGCATAGAGGGGGGTGGGGTGGGGGGAATGGCCATTTTTGCTGAGACATAACTTTAAAAACACCCATACAGCAGTGGAAGCGGAAGGCTCATTATATAAGCGAGCCCTCCCTGAGAGTGGAGGCTGGCGGCAGGAGACGGGTGTAGGAGCTAGGCCACGTGGTTTCAGGGCATTTTTAGCTGATAGCCAGATGCACAATTGACATTAAAGAAGGGGCGCCTACCTAGAAAGCAGTTGTTCTGTAGGGCAGCGAGACCTGTGTCTGCTCCGAGGAATTTGAGAACAGGCATTACTTGGAAGGTGCAGAGGTTTAGTCTGGAGAAATGTGACTTGGCACGGACCTCATGCCCCGGGTCTCAGTGCTACCGAGTCGGCTCCAGCTCCCCGTCATTTGGCCTCCATGAACTTCCTGCGCTCCCATCATGGTTTCCCTCTGTGCTGACGAGTTTTTTGGTTGTTATGTCTTGCAGCCCCCCGAATCCAAGCCCAACATCACCCCTCTCGCCATCTTGGCCCATGTTCTCGGCGCCATCCAGCCCTATGCCCACCTCATCCACGTCCAGCGACTCATCCCCCGTCAGGTCTGTTGCAGGGTTTGTTCCGTTTTCTGTTGCCGCAGTTGTGCTCTCATTTGCCTGGTCCTCTCTTCATGCAGTGTTCAGCCTCCTCGTCAGCTTTGCTCCCTGCTATCCAAACCTGCACTTGCTTTATGACAGGCCAGAAGAAGAAGTTCGTGAAGACTCCAGGTAAAATCATAGATAACTAACCACCAGAGGATAACGTTCCCATTTATCCAACACTGGTCATGGGTAACCAGGGACTAGTCTCTGCCTGCCTGTCCTGCTCTCTCCAGCCACAGCTCGGAGGGACCATTTGTGTGAACCGGCATGGTATTTTCCATGCCCTCTCCAGCCTTTCTCAGATTTCTGGATTCATCTGAGGTGTCAGGAGTTTGGGAAGAAGCCTCTGCTCCTTAATAAGTTCCTGCTTTGGCCACTCTCTGAGTCATTTGCCTCTCTGTGCTTTGGTATAAGATAATATGAGCAAGAACTGTGGACACACATGCTTGGCTGCTTCCCTCGTTTTTATCCAGCAGGATTTATTTGTGGAGTTGGGCCTTTGGCCATGACCACTGACACTTAGTTACTTAGACCAGATCCGCTGGGAGAAAGATAAAGGTGATGCAGAAAATAAGGGAGCAAAATATGAAATAATTTCTCTTTAAACTGTTCATCTCTCATGATTCCTTGGCCTCTACCTCCTCCCAGAAATCGCCAGAGCTCCCAGCTGCCTCTGTGTCTCAGCTCCCCAGTTCTCATTGGAATAGGGAGCTTGACCTATTTCCTCTCCCCAAGGACCCTGTCGTAGTTGTCTCTGCTTTTGTGAATTCATGTTCTAAGTGTCACAAATCTTTGCACTTGAGTTCTTGGGACAAAAGGAACTGTTTAAATCTAAGAAAAGGATAAATGAAGAGTCTTCCAGAATCCCTATGCTATGTTGGGCCAAGCTCCACTGTGTCTTAGACTTACTCTGCTCTCAGACAACTAAAATGTGGAGCCCATTTATAAATATCATAAGCATTTGGGGCTCTGGAAGTGTTTTCTCTTCATTTTTACCCCATAAGGGTAGGTTTAACAGAGAGGCTTAAATGATTTATAAAGCTGAAATTAAGTTTTTAAAAATAAACAATACATACCATCTTGGAGCACTTTGAAAGCTATCATTTCATTCTATTCTCATGTTGGGAAGGAGAAAAGAAATGTCTGAACCTGTTAGGGGAAAAAGCAAACTGAGGCACAGAGAGGCAACTTACACATGGTCACATGACTCCCATGAAAGCAATGCACAATTCAGGATTCTCTTTGTCTCAGTTACACATGCTTCACCCTAAACATATGGGTATCCCAACTTTAAGTTTCCACATAACACCTAGAGCCAGAGCCTTATCCGGTAAGGCTCTGATAAAATGCCCTTCTCATTCACAAAAGAGACCGAGACATGAGGAGGATATGTCTCTTCCATTCATGTAAAGGTTAAATCTTCAAAGCACTGACCCTTTGAACAGAATGGGTTTGGGAATTCAGACCAGTGGAATTACTCAACTGAAATGCACGTTTGCTCTCAATGTGTTTGAGCCCGTGGTTACTCAACACTGCCCCTCTGGCCACTGTTAGCATGGCATAATTTGTCACCTGGCTCTCCACAGCCCTTCCAAAAGCTGCCATTTGGAAACAGCCAAAGCAGAATAGGGCCTGGAGTGGGCTGTCACTAAGCTGAGTGTGGGTGCCAGATAGGAACACTGCTGGGGAGCTGAGCAGTTGGAAGAACAGAGAGGGTTGGAATCCCTCAGTGCTCTTGCAGTGCACAGCCAAGAGGTGGGGGTGTACATACTCAGATCTGAAAGGACCTTCCCCTAAAGTAACATCAAACTTCAGATCTCTCCCCCACCCAGGCAGCGCTTTTAAAAAGAAATAATTAAACCTAATTAACGGCCCTATGAACTTTTACACAGTGTCTGCTCTGGAAATGGCTGCCTCTCCTCTCTTGGAACCATTTTTAATGCTTGTTAGTTCAAGTTCAGGAATGAAAATGCCTTTTACAGCACAGCAGGAAAGGGAATTGGGGGGAGTACTGCCTCACATTTCCTTTTCCTATCACTGACAACCCCTAAAAGGTCCCCAAGCCCCGAAGCACAGGGGCTACAGAAAAGAGTGCCTAAATAATCAAGCTGTTGCCACCCACCTCTAGCCAGCCCCGCCCCCTGTCGTGCTGTGCAATGGCGAAGGGGAGCATCATTTTGCAAGGCTTGCAAGGGCATTTGAGGGAAACTCCTCTGAGTGCTTTCCTGGCCTCCTGCCATGCTCAGAGGCAAAAATTAAAAATGAACCAGCAGAAGGATCCAAACTCGCTCATGCCCTTGAAGACCTAGCTGAGGCCTGAAGGGCGCTGTGGCAGGAGAGGCTACCTCAGTCCTTTGTGCCCATGTTGAGGCACACAGGGGAGAATGAGGAATCTGAGAGGCTTTAGAACTAAGGAACTCTTGGTCAGGCTTCCCCTCCCCCCCCTCCGCCCCAGTTACAGCCAAAGCCTACAAGCCCAGCCTCTCTGCCAACAGGATCTGTCTGTTTTAGTAGGAACTCTACCTAACACAAATTGCTTAAGGCTGTTGAAGGGGTTATGGCATCAGGGCACGTGACTGATTGAGCCAAGAAATGTTTTTGAAAAGATAAAACATTCCCCTATTTTGCTACCAGAATTAGCAAAGAAAGATGCAAGATTCCCAGTTGAATTTGAATTGTACACAAACTTCTTTTTCAGTGTAAGTATACTTGCTCTTGGGGAGCAAGGGTGTCCCTTTTTTGTACCCCATATGTGCCAGCCCTCTAATTTGGGGGTGAGGAGAGGTCTCAAGCAAAAAGACTCTTTCATTGGCTGTCAGTCTACTCTTAAATTGAGAGAAAGACAAGACCTTTCTCTCACTTTTGGGGTTTTCAAAAATGCAGTGTTTTATCATCACTTCATCATTTGATACTAAAATCCTAATACTAGTGGAAAGTTACTCCTTTGAAGAGATAATCTTGGGCACCTGAGACCATTCCCTTTGCTTTCTGACTGCCAAATACCCCAGCTGTTTCCCTTGGCTTGCTCCTCATTTGTCCCATTACTATTATTTAATGAAGTTAATAAATAACCTCTGTAGAAATGCAACCCAAGGAACCTGCCTAAGAGGTGGTTGCCCTCACCTTTCAGCTCCCCACCCCTCTTTGTTCTTTTCCCACCTGCCCTGCCCTGTTTTCCCACGGAGAAGTAACCCTACCTTGAAACCTGGTCTCTAAGACCCCAATTAGTGTGGACTGGATTCTTCTTCCACCTTCAGTGTCATAACAGACCCGTTCACCTGCCCATATGGTGGTTCTGCTGTCCTAGCACTTTGTACAACCATGTTACTCCTTCCTGTTCCTCCCCACCCCCTTAAAAAGAGAGAGAACACAACTCCTGAGTTTTATTCCTCCCTGGAAAGCTGTATGATGAATCCTTGCCCTTGCTGGCTAGCACAGGACAGTGGTTCTCATTAGATCACAGGATGTGCCCCTTGCCCTGAACCTTCATGATCTTTAGACAGGAAGAGCTGTTTTCCAGTTGCAGCTGATGAAGATCCAAGGCTCGTCTTTCTTGCCTGTTGTTCCGAGTGGCCCACTGCATTTACTCCCACCTGGTCGTCACCTCTCGGCTACTAAGAAACCAGGAGGAGCAACAGTAAACCACCTTGGCAGCAGATTCAGGATAGCCATTTCCTCTGATCCTCCTGCTCAGCAAGCACTTTTAAAGTTATTTTTCCTTTAGGTCTCCCAGAGCCAAGACTGGAAGTGTTAGGTACCTGGCCCTGGCACAGGTTTCCAACCATCCATGGTTCTATTCTCAAGGGGAGCTGGACTTGGGGACACAAAAAAAAAAAACAAAAAAAAAAAACAGTTCCATAGTGCTCCAAGCTGTCTGCCCCTTCAGATCTGTCTGCATTTACCTTATAAGAGCAGGGTTTAATCAGACTTTGGCCACTAGAAATCAGTGATCTGTGGGAGGTTCTGGATCCCCAGTTCCTTGATGTTGTCCATAATCAGGAGAAGGTAGGAGTAAATAATATATATTCTTGAAATACATTTCCATCCCAGAAGGCTGACGTGTGGTGGTGGTGGTGGTGTTTTTGTTAATAATAATAATAATAATAATTATTATTATTATTATTTAGTAGTAGTAGTAGTAGTAGTAGTATTCCCTCCCTTGAAACCCTAACATGTACTTTTCTCCAGTGACTTAGGGAAAAGGGAAGATCACTCTTGTAAAATAAAAATGTTAAAGGGCCATTTTCTTTATGACTCTTGAAATGTAGATTTTTAGGAACAAGTTCCATCCCAGAGCAAAAACTCACAGAAAGCAGCATGACGTACCAACTCTTCTGAATTACTCTCTAGAACAAAGGCTAGCAAACTCTGACCCATGAATCAAAAACCTGTGCTTGCTTGGGTTTTTCTAAATAAAGTTTTATTAGAACACAGCCACGGTGTTTTGTTACCTGTTTTCTGTGGCTGTTTTTGTGCTACCATGCAGAGTTGAGTAACTATATGGCTATAAAGCCTAAATCATTCACTCTCAAACATTTTTACAGGAAAGATTTGATTAACCCCTTCTCTCAATCCTAGTTGTCCATAAGAATCACTTGGGGAGCTTCTTAAAACTACTAGTGTGTGCCTGTACTGATATCTGTAAGTCAGAATAGAACTCAGATATATGTGAGTTTGTTGGGTTAAAAAAAAAATCCTCCAGATGATTCAAATGTACAGTGAATGTGATTGTTAATATTCAACTAGGTATGGGGCGGAGGGGAGAGAATGCATCATATCTTTTTTTCTTATCCTCTACACCACATAAACATGTACATGCAGACAGGCAGACAGACACACACACACACACACACACACACACACACACAGACATCCCTTCTCAATTCCCTGTTTTATCCTGAGGTCAGGGAGATCCAGTTTTAGAATCCAGCTTTACCAGTAAGATCCAGCCCAATGAGAAATAAGGAACATCTGGGAGCACTAATGTCAGCCTGTGGCCTAGCGCCGAAGCTTGGCTTGCCCAAGTTTCTCCTTTTTGGGTTCACTGCCCACTGCCAGCTTTCAGCAGAGGCTTTTGGGAGTGTTCTCTAGAGCAACTTGGAAGTTCCTTCATATCCTCACCACTGCCTTCCTCCTAAGGCACCCCAGCTCCAAAATTGGAGCCTCGCCTGACCCCCGTTTCAGCTGCTGTGACTCCTATGCAGCATGTTGTTAACATGACACAAGGTGACCTCCCAAGCACACTCTCTCAGAGCTTATGGTCTTTCTCGGTATTTCTCATTTTTCTCCTGTGACCTTTGCAACTTTTCCACCTCATGTTTTGCCATCTGGCTGACTTGTCAGGCTATTCCCACGAGAGAAGACGAGGTGGCCTGTAGGGGAAGGGAAGAAGAGTGACTAAATATCTGGGACTTTCAAACACTGTAGAAAAAAACCCATTCAGTTAACTCCTGTTTTCACACAGCACACCGTTCCGGAAGGCAAGAGCCTTGTACGCCTGCAAAGCTGAGCATGACTCTGAGCTCTCGTTCACAGCAGGCACGGTCTTCGAGAATGGTGAGTTTCTCTTTCCTCACAGAGATCTAGGGGGGCTGGGAGACCAAATAGCCAGAGTTCCTGCACAAAGGAAAACTCAAGAGAGCAGGTAAACCCAAAAGGAGTGTTTGTGTGCCGTTCATATCTGTGCTATTTTCTGGAATGAGAGAACAGTAGCAGGACTTTAAAAGACTTCTTAAGAGTTACTGTTGCAAGAGGAATTCAGTCTCTTCATTCTGAGAGAGGCAGTCTGGTCACATAGTTGTGACCAGTAAATGAGAATGTGTGTACAAGGGGCCTGAGCCAGGCACCTGGCAGTGACTGTGTGAGTCTGGGGGCAAGACAGAGGGAAGGAGTCACAGAAATGAGAGCAGGAATGCTGGAAGTGGTCAGAAACCCACGGGGAGGATGAAGTTCACATATCCCTACGTTCTTGAGCTCAGTACAGAAGCGTGTTGAAGGTATGGCATGTGCCCTGGATGCCACTTGAAGAAGGCACCACTAAGCAGTTTCTCTTAACCCTGCATGGCCCAACATCCCCAATCCTGGTATTTGTCTTTGAGCACAAATCCAAGGGAGGGTCCCATGAAACGTGGAATGGCAGAAGCACCACAAACAAGAAAGGCTCCTGTCTGAGGAGCTGGACAAGAGCAAGGAAGGAGTATGTACTGACACATCACCTGGTGACGTGTGGTGGGGAAGGGGAGGGTAACGCCATAGAGATTACTCCACGCACTTGTTAGCTCCCTGCTGCCCTGACTCAGTGACATGCATGTTTTTAGTAGTAGGGTAGGCAGATTTTCAAGGCAGCAGGCATTTGGTTTGCTCTAAGTGGTTCACTGGAGATTTTGGCCTCTGCTGGGAGAAGATCCAGGTTTCATTCCTATCCAGTGCACCCCATGTGCTGCTCCCACCCAATATGTCAGTGGAGATGTGATTGTTTTCATGATGCTGAACAGATTTTCAGTGGAGTTTCCAAGCTGATATAGACTAGGGATAAAGGCTGCACAATCTACTTCAAAAACAAGCCTGTGAGTATCCTTTGGATCACAACACTTGGACTGGCAGTCAGTGAGAGGAGACTAGGCAGCACTTTCCTCAAGTCACCCCGCATGAGGCCTCCATGAAGAGGGGCCTGACTGGACAGAAGTTCTCAATAAAAATAAGGGGGCTCTTGTCCCCTTTAATCTAACCTTCTTTAACTTTTTGAGTGGAAGTAATCCATCTCACAGTCAAACCACACACAAACTGCCAGCCGTCCTGCTCAAGTAACCTGGTGTGAAAATGGGAGTCTGTGAGGCCTTGAAAACTAATGAACAAAGACTGGATGTGCTCTGGGAGATATCAAGAATATTATCCATAAAGAATTCCAGAGGTCATTACAAAGACAGAGAAAGAGGAAAAGAACAAAATGAATGTCAGAAGAGACTCTGAATATTGCACTAGAGTGCGAGAAGCCAAAGTAAAGGAAATAAATCACAAAGTTAAGTAATTGAGTAGAAGATTTCAAAGGGCAGCTTTTGAAGACAAAGCAAAGTATTATAATGAAACGTGCAAGGGGCTGGAGTCAGAAAATCAAAAGGGCCGAACTCGCTCAGCATTTCTTAAGCTGAAGAAACTAAAGAACAAATTCAAGCTGCAAGTTGCAATACTTAAGGATGCTGTGGGCAGAATATGGAATGATCCAGGAACCATTAAAAGAAGATGGAAGGAGTATACAGAGTCACTGTACAAAAATGAATTGACTGGCACTGAAGAATTTCAAGAAACAACATATGATCAAGAAGCAATGGTGATGAAGGAGGAAATGCAGGCTGCTATAAAGGACTTGGCAAAAAATAAGGCCCCAGAAATTGATGGAATACCAGTGGACATATTTCAACAAACAAAGGTTGTCCAGGTCATGCTCACATAGGTATGCCAAGAAATCTGAAGGACAACTACCTGGCTAACTGACTGAAAGAGATCCATATTTATTCCCTTTCCAAAAAAGGTAGCATGACAGAGTGTGGAAATTATTGAAAAATATCACTAATGTCAGACACAAAATTCTACTGAAGATTATCAAAAACCAACTGAAACAGTACATTGACAAAGAAATAACAGAAATACAAGGAGGGTTTAGAAGAGGTCATGGCACTATTGCCAATGTCAGATAGATCTTGGCCGAAAGCAAACAGTACCAGAGGAATGTCTCTCTGTGTTTCATTGACTGTGCAAAGGTATTTGACTGTGTAGATCACAACACATTGTGGCCAACTTTGAGGAGAATGTAAATTCCAGAACACTTGATTGTGCTTCTGCAAAATCTATGCTTGAACCAGGAAGCAGTCCTCAGAACAGAGCAGGGAAACACTGAATGGTTAAAAATCAGGAAAAGAATGCATCAGGGATCCATCCTGTCTCCATACATTTTCCATCTCTATGCAGAACAAACCATTGGGAGGCTGGGCTTTATGAGGAGGAATGTGGAGTCAGGATTGGCAGAAGACTCAACAACAACCTATGTTATACAGATGATACAACCTGGCTTGCTGAAACTGAGGAGAGCCTGAAGTGCTTTGCTGCAGAAGGTCAAGGACTGTAGTCTTCAATATGGTTTGAAGCTCAACAACAGGAAGACACAGATTGACACCACTCAGCCAATCGGCAGCACCATGATAGATGGAGAAGAGATTGAGTTGTAAACATTTATAGCTTGCTCAGTTCCACAATCAACACTCTTGGCACAAGCAGTCAGGAAATCAAAAGACGAATTGTACTGGGAAAGACTACTGTTGGGGATCTCACCAGAGTACTGAGAAGCAATGGCATAGGCCATGATCTTCGCAATTACTTTCTATGCATCAGAGAACTGGACAATGACTAAGGATGACAGAAGAATTGAAGCCTTTGATTGTGGTGCTAGAGAATAGTCTTGATCATACCATGGACAGCCAAGAAAATAAGTAGGTCAATTTTGGAGAAGGTGAAACCAAGTTTTTCCTAGGAGGATAGGATTTTGAAGCTCCATCTAACATACTTTGGGCACGTGACTAGGAGGGACCAGCCCTTGGAGAAGGATATCATGCTTGGAAGGGTGAAGGGACAGAACAGGAGAGGAAGACTTTGGAAGAGATAGATTGATGCTGTAACTGGAGTAATGGGGGTGAGTGTGTGAAGAGTCAGTAACCCTGCCTCAGGACAGGGCAGGCTTCAGAACCCTTGTACATAGGGTGTCTGAATTGCAGGCGACTTGACAGTACATAACAACATAGCTCATAAAACTGGATACTAGTATTTAATGCACTATATTCTTTACCAACTTTTTTAAAGTGATAATTGATGGCATAATTCATCATAATTTATCTGCGTAAGAGATGCATCAAAATGTTGGGGGAAGAGCTCCAGTTTGGATCATTGCTGAGTTTTTCATATATGAAGTTCTCCACTAAGGCTCATCTCTCAGGATCCCTCAGTAGAAGGGTCTGTTTCATTTCACCTTCCGCCCCCCCTCCCCTTCAAAGAAGGAAGCAAATGCAGCTGCTTGGTTTCAGGAACTGGACATTTTCTCTGCGTGCCTTCCCTCCCCACATGGAGTGGAGGCAAATTTCCTCTGGAAGGGGTGAGTGCGTTAGTTCAGCACACCCTATCCCAGCTGGCCAGCTTCACTTTGGCCTGGACCACACCCTATACCTCCTCCTCCTTAACTGAAACCCAGAAATAATACAGAGCTACCGAGGCCACTGTGCAGCAGAGGAGACCCTGTACATCACATAATCTTCACACAAGTCGCAGCTTGACTTTTTGCCTCTGTGACATTGAGCAACAGTTTTAACCATTCTTTGCACTTGGTTGCATCCTCCTATCAAATCAAGATGACAATACCTTTGAGAAGTTGAACTAGAAATGTGCAACAATGGAAACAAAACATTTTTTATGTTTTTTAAAAAAAAGGTAAGTGGAACTATGTGAAGAAGAGTGTAGCACCAGGCCTGGAGGAAGACTAATCAGCAAACCACAGTTTGGATATGATACAACCTTGCTTGCAAAATGTGAAGAAAACTTGAGGCATCTCCTGCAGAAGATCAAAGACTACAGCCTTCAGTATGGATTACCTCTCAACGTAAAGAAAGCCAAAAGCTTACCACTAGGCCAGCAGACAACATCATGATAGAAAAAATATTGAAATTGTCAAAGATTTCATTTTACTTGGATCCACAATCAACACTCATGGTAACAGCAGCCAAAAAACAAAGACATTGGGGAAAATGTACCGTGTTGCATTGGGAAAATATGCTGCCAAGTACCTCTCCAAAACAAAGAGCAAAGATGTCAGTTTATGAAGACTAAGGTGCACCTGACCAAGCTATGGCCTTTTCAAATTGCTTTGCATGCATTTGAGAATTGAACAATGAATATGGAAGAACAAAGCATCAGTGCATTTGAGTTGTGGTATTAGAGAAGAGTAATGAATATTCCATGGACTTTAAAAAAAACCCAAACAAACAAACAAACAAACAAACAAACACCAAACAAATCTATCTTGGAAGGAGTACAACCAGGATGCCCTTTAGAGGCAAAAACGGTAGTTCTACGGCACTTTTCTCTCTTAGGTGCCAGTAAGGCCTCTGTCTCTCATGCTTTAGACACATTGTCAGGAGGGAAAAGATATGCTGAGAAAGGTGGAGGGTCAAAGAAAGAGAAGAAGGCCCTCAATAAAGCAGATTGATACCATGATGGTAACAATGGGCTGGTTCGTAACAGACTGTGAGGATGGCACAGGGTAGGGCAGGGTTCAGATCTGTTGTTCATAGTGTCCCTGGGAGTCATAGTCAGCTCAAGCACATAACATCAACAACTTTACAGGTGCTGGGAGAAAAAGTTGACATGAAACACATCATATATTTAGAAAGACTCCATACATGTTAAGTGTTCTGTATATTAGTTATCATAATAATTGTCATTCTCAAGTCCATGTTACAAAAAGACTCTAGTGCTGCCAACATTCACAGTGACTGTTTTATATTCAGCCCTGCCTC